CGCCGCCCGCCGCGGCGCTGTGCGTGAGGGCGGTGCTGCGCGACGAGTGCGAGGCGGGCGGGGCGGCGCTGCGCATCCTGCGGGAGGCGCTGCGCGCGCCGGTGCGGGCGAGGGGCGGGGTGCGCGCGGTCGCGCTGGAGGTGCGGCCGTGCGGGTTTGAACTGCGCGCGGAGCCGGGTGCTGGTGCGGGCGAGGGGGATGCGGGGCCGGTGGTTGTGGAGCTCGATACGCGCGCGGGGAGGGTGAAGGAAGAAGTCGTGCAGGAGATGGCACTGGATGTGCTTTGCATGCTGCGCCGGGAGGACGTGCGTACGCTCAGTGTGTGTACGAGGCAGGCTGTGCTCCCGCGCGGGTGGTGGGAGCGCCTTGGTGGGGCGTTGCCGGGCGTTTGCACGGTTGAGGTGCGGGGGAGTTTGACTGCGAGGGGGGTGATGGAGATGTTCCGACTGGGCGGCCGCGTAGATTCTGGAGGGTCAAGCCGTTCGAAGTCGTATTGCATCCCGGCGCAGCAATTCCCGGTATTGCGACACTTACGTCTGGCGGGTGCATCGTTGAGCTCGCTGCTCACGCAGGACCCGCCAGAGCGTTTGGAGGAGGCACTGGTGGAGGGTTGTGAAGGACGCAAGCTTGCTGGAGCTGGGCTCGAGTCGATGCTGCTCTATCACTGCGAGGGGCGAGCGAAGCTAGTTGAGATGCTTATGGGTGTCTGTGGTTTAGTCGAAGTTATGGATAGCGCATAACAAGCGAGGATCGGATGTCACTTTTCTATCTGAATATGGGGATATGTTGTTGTACTTCATTATGTATCTGTATTGCAGCAGGTTTCGAACGGATATGAACGGTACGAATTTAGCAGGCCGGAAGTGACATCTTGACATTGGACGTCTAGCATCAAGATCTCGACGTTCAGTGATCTCCAACTATTCGGAGATATCGACAAAAACACCGTGGACCTGTCCCACAAGCGCTCTTTACCTTCAGCCGTTGCTGAGCTACACTCATCTCACATATCAACACACATCGAAGAGAGTATAACAACAGTCCGAAACATGCTTAGCTTCCGATGCAGATGATATAAACAAGCAGGTAGATATAGCAGCAGCCCGGCAGCCCCCGAGTGGGAGCCGCTCACGCATCAGGAAGCGACGCCCTCCGACCGACGCCATCCACTCGCATTCTCGTGATCGTCATGACATGACATGTTTCGTCCGACGGTGCGGGGCTCGTTTACTCGCTCTCTGAGATGAGAGCGACGATCATGCTGCGAAAGAGCAGTGCAGGTCAGCACGCAATTCACTAGCGAAAAGGGCTGAGGTAGGATGAAAACGTACCGGTAGAGGTAGTAGAAGAAGGAGAGGAGGTAGAAACCGAGTTTGATAAAGCTCTCCTTCTTGTGGCCCGACAGCGTGCGGAAAATCTCCGTAGCGTCATACATGTGATTCTTATTCCGGATCCTAGGCACACACGTATTTAATATTCAAGATCGGTGGTGCCATCACAAGACGGAGGGGGATACGCACTTGTTGATGTTGAACGCAAGTAGTGGCGCGTTCAGCAGGAAGGCCGTCCATTGTCCAGACAGGAGGAACAGAACCGTGAGGAATGCGTGCGCGCTGTTCTCGGGGAGGACAAACTAGCGCCAGAGTGGGGTCACGGTCAGCCAACGTCCCGCGGCCGCACGCGATCCGCGTGTAACAGGTAAAAGGAACGCACTTGGTTGAGCTTGTTGCAGAGGTCTATGGGGTTGATGTAGTCGCATTCTAGATCGGAGAACATGATGATCTGCGGGCGCCGGAGGTCAGTGCGGGGTACACAACGTGGAGATACGGGACACGTACGAAGAAGACCATCGTGAACAGCAGTCCTGCGGCCATAAGGACCGCGAAGAGGAAAAGCCAGCCTATCCATGCCAAATACGCGATTTGAATCACGATTTAGGGGGAGCTGAAGAGGAGAACCGCGCACCTGCACCACCCATTTTGTATCGTCTGCTTGGTTTCGGAGCACGTGTGTTTGGGACGTCGGCGAACACGCAAAAGCTGGTCGTAAATCGTCACATACGCGCGGCCATTCTCCACAAACCGAAAACATACCGTTGTTAAAGAGACGTATGGACGCGAAAGATGAACGGTGCGGGGACGAGAGGGTAAAGAAACGAGACGAGGAGCGGCACCAAAGGCTGACGTTCGTGTCACCGTCACGGTAACGTGGTCATGTCACATTTGCGTCACACGTGCAGCCCAGCCAATGCAATCGATTTCGGATCTCTCTCAGGCTTCACCACCTTTCCTTTGCACACTGAACATGCCCGCCCCCACACAGTTCCTCGAGTTTATCGACAAGAGCAAGGATGCGTTCATCCAGCGGTTGTCGGATGCAGTAGCAATCCCCAGGTTAGTCGTTAGTCGCTTGATTTAATCTGACTCCGGGCAGGCGTGACACTTCGCGGACCTTTCGAATCCGGCGAACAACATTCGTCGAGGACACGGCTTGGGTTTACTTCCAATGAAATAACAGTGTAACATCTCATCAAGACTGATGTTTCGTGCAACGCCACAAGGCTTCTGTTCGCCTCCTATTTTCCGCGAGGCTCCCAGGAAATGGAGGCTGTAATATACACGTACAATAGTCGTGGTATAGCAGGTGATTTAGGTCAACCACACCTAAGTTAGCCTCTAAATCACGACTCTATTACGCTGTTATGACCCTCTCCTATGATTCTGCTCGCTGTGAGCGGCTTTGACGACGTCATACGTCCTTCTAAACTCTCGAATACCCTTGTTCTGCTTATCTTTCATGTCCAAGTACACGATATTGACAAATGAATATGTAGTATCTCCGGTGACCCAAAGCACCGTGAAGACGTCTTCAAGATGGCATCCTTCCTCGAGTCGCAGCTGCAATCATACGGCGTCGAGACCAAGGCCGTGCCTCTCGGGTCCCAGAACGTCGACGGCGAGGAGCTCACGCTCCCGCCTGCCATCCTCGGCCGCATCGGGCACGACAAGAGCAAGAAGACCGTGCTTATCTACGGGCACTTCGACGTGCAGCCCGTACGTCCTGCATCTCATTTACTCGCTGTATATCACTATCTAATTGAGTGCGCAGGCAGAGCTCTCGGACGGCTGGACGCACCCACCGTTCACGCTGACGCGCGACGACGCGACGGGCCGCCTGTACGGCCGCGGCTCGTCGGACGACAAGGGCCCCGTGCTCGGGTGGATCAACGTGCTCGAGGCGCACCACAAGCTCGGGCTCGCGCTGCCCGTCAACCTGCGCTTCTGCCTCGAGGGCATGGAGGAGAGCGGCAGCGAGGGCCTCGACGAGTTCATCCTCGCCGAGGTCAAGAAGGGCAAGGACAGCTGGTTCGACGGCGTCGACTGCGTCTGCATCGTGCGTCCATCCCCACTTCCCGTTTCCTCCTATGCCTTACACTCGACCGACGCGCGCCTAGTCGGACAACTACTGGCTCAACAGCCGCACGCCGTGTCTGACGTACGGCCTGCGCGGGCTCACGTACCTCAAGCTGACCGTCTCTGGCCCCGGCAAGGACCTGCACTCGGGCGTCTTCGGGCGTATGGTGCACGAGCCCATGACGGACCTCATCGCGATCATGAGCAAGCTCGTCGACCCGTCTGGCAAGATCCTCATCCCCGGCGTCGACGAGATGGTTCCGGGGCCCACGCCCGAGGAGCAGTGCGTGTCTCATGCCTTTCCACCCCCTTCTCTCCCCTCCCCGGATTTTTGGTTGAATTCGGCACGCTGGCTAACGCACGCGCGCGCAGGGCGATCTACGAGAAACTGGACTACTCGATCGCAGATGTGGAGGACTCAGCGGGCGGCAAGGTCGCGCTGAGCGCGGACAAGGCGGCCGTGCTGATGGGCCGCATGCGCTCGCCGTCGCTCTCGCTGCACGGCATCGAGGGCGCGTTCTACGGGCAGGGCGCCAAGACCGTCATCCCTGCGAAGGTCTCTGGCAAGTTCAGCATCCGGTGCGCCTCCCTCTCCTTCCCTCCCGTCCCCCCTCTCCCTTCTCCCCTCCTGCCTCCTACCGTCCTGCTTGGGAATGAAAGCAGATGCTGATGGGGTACACGCGCGCAGGCTGGTCCCGCCCATGACCCCGGAGAACGTGAACCCGCTCGTGATCAAGTACATCGAGGCCGAGTTCGCGAAGCTCGGGAGCAAGAACAAGCTCGTCATCGAGGACCTGCACGGCGGCAAGCCGTGGGTCGAGAACCACAAGCATTGGAGCTACGAGGCGGCCAAGCGCGCGACCGAGGTCCGTGTGTCCCATCCCTCCCTATCCCCCCTTTAGCAGTCTCGGTCGCGCTTACGCGATGTGCCCTCCGCAGCTGATCTACAAGCAGACCCCCGATCTGACGCGCGAGGGCGGCTCCATCCCCGTCACGCTCACCTTCGCAGAGGCGCTCGGCGTGAACGTGCTCCTGCTGCCCATGGGCCGCGGCGACGACGGTGCCCAGTGCGTCCTCTCCCCCTCCCTCCCTCCCTTGTCCTTACTGACCCACGCAACAACATAATGTAGCTCGACGAACGAGAAGCTGGACATCTCCAACTTCATCGAAGGCGTAAGTCTTATCTTTATCGTGCAGACTTGATACTGATGGCGGTTGTGGATGCAGACGAAGCTGTTGGGCACGTATCTGTACGAGGTGTCGCAGGCCTCGGCTTGAGTTTGCTCGGGGCTTGGTATAGGGAATTTACGAGTGGACGTGAATGTCGGAGGATCAGGGAAAGCAGAAGATGTATACGTATGTACGAGTAGCAGTACTAACTGCTTGCTATAGCCTAGTACAATGTTGTACATGTAGGGTGCCGTTGTGTTGTATTGATCGATGTCATGTCTAATAAATACTGGTGCTACCTACACTCAGACGTCGACGTTGGACTCAAAACGAGATCGATGCACTTATAACATTGGGCGATGGAGCCGCGAGCGTACCTACTAATCTCAAAAATGCATTCCACTTCTCGTGGTACACTTCGGATACGGGGAATCGAACCCCGAGCTACCGCGCACCGTCAAAGTGAAGTGAGAGGCGGTAATGTTAGCCATTACACCATATCCGAGTGCCTGAAGAGGCGAGTGCTGCAGCAGTGGAGCCTGCAGGGTCGGGCGACCCGCCGCGGCATTAATTCGACATCTGAAGTCGTCGTTATTACCAGATAAAAGCATCGGATATGGTGTAATGGCTAACATTACCGCCTCTCATTTCGAGGGCGCGCGGTAGCTCGGGGTTCGATTCCCCGTATCCGAATGCGTTGAGTCGTGCTTTCTTTTTGTTGAACGTTTTGTTCAGCTATCGGTCTCGACGGCTATGGCTTATCGCTGCCAATAACATATACGACGACAGCGTGCACACACCGGCATGTGTATGTGGAGATGGATAAATCAAGGACGATTCAGAACCCACGACGAGCTTGAAGCCGCCCAACAGCCGGGAATTCAAAGCCAGTAAGCTGCAGATATTATACGCAAGACAACAACAGGAAAACGACGTGAACGGGGACGAGGATACGTATATACGGAGTAGGGAGGGCTGCTAAGACGACTGAGAACAACGGGAACTAGCTGACGCGCAGGCGGAGGGACCGCCTCTGGGGGTCTGGATCCTGATCGGGGAAAAAGAGAAAACCATACAGTAGACAAGGAAAACGGGGAGTCGCATGGATACAGTCGTGCAAGGCGTGAGCATCAAGTCTCAGTCAACGTCCATCCGCGCAGCGCCCCTCCGCCCACGGCGCCCGCGTCCGCCCCGTCCGCGCCCGCCGCTCCCTCGTGTCTGCTGCGTGTACTCCCGCGGGTCGGCGCCTGGTGGTGCGACGAGGACGTGTGCGCGGGCGCGCGCCTCGGAGTCGTTCAGGATGTCGTCCGAGCGCATTTTCCTGTACACGTCGACAGTGAGCGTTGGCTCTAGAAGGGAAATGAGACGAGGACTTACGAGGTCGGAGCGCCCGCAAGGAGGTCGTCGACGGTCCCGTCCTGAGCACCGACGCTAAGCCGCCCGCTGAGCGTCGCGTTGACGCCGCCGACGATGCGCACGGCGAGTGTGCGCCCGTCTGCGACCTGCCCGTTGAAGCTCTCTACTGACGCGCGCGCGTCCTTATCGTTCTTGAACGTCAGGCGCACCGTAACGCCGCCATCGGGACTGTTCTTCGCAGACGACTGCGTAATCGGTCCACAGCGCTTGAATATCGCCTTCCGAAACACAATGCGATCAGAATCAGCTTGGGCCACGCAATTTTCGAGCGGAGAGGGGAGTAGGAGAGTAAAACGCACCTCGACGTCCTCGGCTGTCGTCCCCCGTACCAGGCCAGAAACATCCACGACATTCCCTTTCGAGCTCGCACCACGTATCGACAGCTCCCCGCCCCGCGACCCGGCGCCCACGAGCCCTGCGGCCTCCTGCGTCGCGCGCACCGCCATGCCCGCGTTGATCTTGCGCGGTGCGCCAGGCCCAAGACGCGCGGACAGCGACTTGCCCTTGCCGTCGTTGAACATGTCGTGCTGCCATGTGCTGTTGACGTCGGCTTTGGATGGCCGGGACTGGAGGCAGTCGGGAGGGGGCAAGGAGTGAGAGTTAGGTGGTTGTGTGCGGGAGAGCTCAGGGGCGACGCACGTAGGGAGCGGGGTCTGAGCGGCGGGGTTTGGAGCGGACGGGGCCGACGGAGGAGTCGATGTTCATGCGCTCGAGGAGGGAGGCCATTGTGACTGGAGCAGGAGGAAGAGGGAGGGGGAGATGGGCAAGGAGGAGAGAGGATGGTGGCGGTGGTCGAAGAAGAGCACGCGAAGGTCTGCACTTGTCACACGCTTCGGTTACTGTGCCGTGACTCGCGCGTCACGTACAACTGTAGGTGTATGTTTTCTTTGTTCTCGGATACAGCAGCGCATTGAAATGAGACAATCTGGTCGAAGCCCCATTGTTTTCCCTACAGTAGCGCATTGTCTTATTTTTTTTTCCCACTTAGAACAGGGTTTTTACGTCTCACTGCCTGAGACTCACGTTTACCGCCTGCTGCGGTGCACGTGCCCAAGCTTGAAGGTCCGGCGCGGAGTTTGAATTTGTCATGCCCTTTGCCTCTTTGCGTCGTCTCTTTTCTTTCTCCCAACCACCACAACCAGAACCACAAGCATCAAGCTACGCCTCCGAACGTCGTCGCAATGACCCGCTCAACCACCGCATCAAAGCGCTCTGCGCTCACCAAAGCTCACGCTCACCGCTCTTCCCCATCCTCCCATATCGCCTACGCCGCCCAGCTCAAGCCCGTCCAGGCTCAGCAAAAGCGAGCTTCGCATTTTCAGCATGCCGCTGTGCGCGCAAAGCGCTCCACATGGGCTCTCATCGCTGCACAGACGGCAGCGGTCGTCGCAGGGGACGGCAAGTATGTAGAGACTCGCCGTTGCCGCGTGCGCACCCTTGCTGATGTCGTAGACTATCCCCAGCGTACCCCTGCCCTGAGTACATGGCACATCGTGCATGATATCTCGTCGCAGGTATGTTTCTCTCGAGAGCGCACTGCTTTCTACCCTCATGAGACGGCCGTGCCCTTCCCTACACCCTCATCCGGGGTGAGTGCATCCACACCCGAGGATTTCCGAACTAGCACAGCTTTTGAATTCTCGAAGCACTCGGCCCTTACCATCGCCCGCCGGCTGTACCACACCATCCAGCGCACCTCTACCGATATCGACAAGCCTACTACCATCGGTGTCCTCTCCTCGGCCTCCCCCCGACACCCCGGCGGCGGCTCGCTCAGTGGCAGCTCCGACCTCGAGTCCGTCATCTCACGCTCCACTTCCCTCCCCGCCTCCCTTTCGACACCCCAAGCCATTGCCTTTTATGCCGACCACAAGCTACATGCCAAGGAACACGGTGTGGGTTTCTTTGCAGACTCTGTAGTGTATTCTCCGTCCGTCGTCGGCCTGCGCCGAGACGATGATGACCGTTTTGACGTCAAGGACGACGACTTCAATCCCGAAATGGACGCAATCCCTGCAGACCCGACCACCGCAGAACTCGAGCAGCCGCCGGCTGTCAACGCACAGAACCAGAAGCCAATGGGCGAGTACGTCGCCCCTTACCTGATGAACGTCGTCTCTGCCGTCCCAGTCTATGCCACCTCCCTCCGTGCCAACGCTGCACGCTTCCCTACTCTTGATTCCACAGCCGATATCGAAGAATCCATCCGGATGGCCCTCAAGTCCCGCATGGGGCGCATCCTGCGCGTGTTCCAGGCTAACGGCGACCGTGTGCTCGTGCTGCCCGCCTTTGGCTGCTCCGAGGGCGCGTCGGTAGCCTGTGTCGCCCAGATCTGGGCTGAGCTGCTCGCGTGCCCGCCCCCGTCCGACGAGGACGGCGAAATGACCGGTGCGTTTCACGACGTGTTTGACAAGGTCGTGTTTGCGCTGCCGAAGAAGCTCGCTGCGGCCTTTGGCGAGGCGTGGGAGATGAGGGTGTTTGAGGCGCAGGTGGAGGGCGAGATGTGTTTGGAGATGGACGAGGAGGAGGATTGAGCTTTGAATAGGTCGAAGTTCGGGGCTGGGCCTCGAGAAGATGTTTATTTTATTTATGAGGAAGTGTTCCGTTCGTTCGTCTGAAGAGAAGTGATAGTGTATTTCTTGGATTCGATGATTCGATAGTTTACTGTATGCACCCTATGATGATATATGCTCTATGACAACGTGCTCTTTCGTTTCTTGGTCTCGTGAATGAGATTCGCCTGAAGTATGAGTCACAACCGGTATGAGGTACTTATAATGATGCTGTTCTGCATGCCCATCGCAGTACTAGTAGACGGAGTGGACCAAAGTGGCAGCGTGGTCTTTCATAGAACATAAGTACGAACCTAACAGGTTGGAAAAAAAACCTTCCATTATTCTTGCATAGTGGACACATCCGGAATTGAACCGGACACCTCTCGCAAACTGCCCGATGCCCAGACAAGTAGGCGTCGAGTGCTAAGCGAGCGTGATAACCAACTACACCATGTGCCCTTCCATTGTACATTGATCCCACACCTCTACCGCGGCACTACGCTCAATCGATCGCGTCAGCTGCCCAGTGCCCAACCAGAGTCGCACTCGCCATTGGCATAAGTAGCGCTATGGCGGCGGCAAGAGCAAAAAGGTAAACGCGGATGAAAGCGATGCGAATTCGAATGGACACATCCGGAATTGAACCGGACACCTTTCGCAGATGCCGACCGTAAAGTGCGAAGCGAACGTGATAACCAACTACACCATGTGCCCATGCTCGGAAGACAGAATGTTGTCCCTCGGCGCACGGACATGGGCAGGGGAGCTTGAGGTGGTTGACGAGTTTCGGAGAGATGCAAGTTGGCGAGGTCAAACCTTCCAATATAAGGGTTCCCGATCCAGATCCCAGAGTCAGAGGCAGGTGCAAAAAGCTGCCAGTACCAGTGCTGCGCGCGCATAAGGACCGCCAAGCCGGATGAAGAAAAAATATCAAGAGAAATGGGATGGATCCTGGACACATCCGGAATTGAACCGGACACCTCTCGCAGTCGAATGCTAAGCGAGCGTGATAACCAACTACACCATGTGCCCTTGTTTTGCAGACATTTTATGGTGCCTAGGGACGTGCGAATGTCGCCGAGCCGGACGGCGCCGATGGTTTGATCCGCTCCGCGTTCTGGCCTTTCATTAGGTTGGTCTGGGATGGTCGGCGCCCCCGCGTATGAAGTCATCGATATCGTGTTCAGCCCTCCGCCAGCTTGAACGGTCTGGACGGACGGTCCGGGGGCATCTCGTGCGTTCCAGCGAGGGGAACGTTGGGGCTCTGCGGCTAGCATGAGCCATCAATGCTGCGAGCACGCTATGACGTGCCGGCTCGGATGGCTTGGGAGGTGGGGCGCGGTCGGTATATAAGGGCTGCCTGTGGTGGGGAGGAGGACATCATCATCAGCAGCTTCGAACTCGGAGTCGTCTAGACACACACACACACACACACCAACTACTTCCTCACTACCTTCTCAACACATCCATCCTCACTTCTCTTCGAAGTTCGGATCCACATTATACAATGCCTCTCGGACTCACCATGACTGCGCGGAGACCCGTAAGTCTCACTGCACCTGCTGTCGCACATATCGTACTAATGCTTCTCTTGAAGGCTCTGCTCCTCTTCGCCACGCTCGAGACAATGCTCATCGCAGGCGTCCTATCGCAGTACCGCAGGCCGGGGTAAGCTTCATCTCCGATTCCGATTCGCGAACATAAGACTCACAAGTCGTCCACTTGCAGCGCCCTGATGACGGCCAAGCCGCGGTCGCATATCCCTCCCGCCAAAGTCTTCTGGTGATCACCATAGACCAATAGACGAAAGCGAACCAATCTAAACTTGACGGGGATAGCCTGTATCATACTGTATTTTATTCTCACTACGGACATCTGCATCTGCACCTACCTTATGTATTATAATTGGAATCGCAGTCGTTCCCAAAAGTATTCTTCTGGATCTTGAGAACTGTTTCAATGGAGTGTCTGAGATATATAGCTGAAGCCTGATGGTACGTCCGAGCGCGCTGGAAGGATGCCAGCGCTTCGAAGGGTAGAAGAGCCGCGAAGGAAAGGAAGAGCCATATTTCGACGCTATCGGGCCCCGCAAAATTCAAGTTCGAAGGCATCCACCTGCGTCCCGCCATATTGATGGTACGTATGCACCCTGCATCTTTCTTGCGCGTCGCACGACACATTGGCCGTATGTAATCCATCGCCTTCATGTATTGACATTCAACAAGACGTCACAGAAGCCATACGTACGTGAATGAAAGGCTCGGGTGACCCTGCAACCATACGTTCAAGAAGAGACTGACGGATCGACGGACCGCGTCAGGGAAGAGTCAATGCAGCGCTAGAGCACTCACCGTGTCATGCGGTCGCGCCGCGCTGATCATCAGAAGAATTCGCAGTGTCTACGGAGCTGGAGAAGAGAGGCGGCCCTGTCAGTGTGAACCTCGTGTTATGCTTGCGCGGACTGAGAGTGGACGAGAGGAAGGAAGCGAATTGGGTCCGCTCAGCGGTGCGCCACCGCCACGTGCGCGCGTCGATGTGGGCGCCAGACTGGCGGTGTGGTGGTTGCGAGCCTGCCGGCGGCTCCTGCGCGTCCCAGTCGACCATCATTGTCTACCAGGTGAGCAGCAACTTCACCGCGTATGTCTCTGCACATCCTCCTAACATTGCCAGGTCATCATCGAGACTCGCAGGACTCCTAACTATCCACGCGGAGACGTCCTCCATATCTCGCGAGCGCACCAACTTCGGACGAAGCACATGAACCCTGTGCCGAAATAGAGCTCGCGCGATGAGACTGCCCTTCGCTTCTGCAGATGCTTCCTCTTTCCTCCCCGCATGGCTCCATGCGTCTGACATGGCCCAGTCCGTGTTCGCGCCGCCCCGTCTGCCCAGCGGCGGCATCACGCGTACGTACCAGCCCTCCTGATCCATGCGTGCTATCGTGATGTCCGCCGCGCGTGCCCACTTGACCACGCCCGAAGTCGGGCGAATCGCTCTCGGGCGGCGAGGCGTCGTCAGATGAGAGAGCTGGCTTTCTTATAACCTCCGAGTCGCGGTTCTGTACTCCTCAGACTCAGGATGAGGTCACCTTTCCTGCCTGTGCTGCTCGCTGCTCTATGTGCAACCCGCTCACTCGCCGCGTCTAATACCTCAGATGCCGGGTTCACAAAGCTCAATCTCTCGTCGCTGTTTGACGTCAAGTCCGCCGCGACGGGCCTGAACGACCCGAATGCGGACTTCGATGGCAGCCAACGGGCGTACCCCGTCGAATACATGCCCTCGACCCCCACCCTCTCATACAACGGCATTGAGGTACGCTCCCATCCCTACAGTCTCCACGTACAGCCATCTCAAAGCTCTTGGCATACCTATACAGTTCGACGTCCCGCCCTTCCACGACGCGTCCTCGAAGGACGCCGTCGGGTCCAACTCGCAGACGATCAAAGTCAACGGCGGCGCGGGCGGCAACTTCCAGTCCTTCCACGCGCTCGGCGCGGCCTTCTGGACACCCTCGGGCGGGCCAGGGCCGTCCGTGGCGAACCTGACGCTGCACTTCGCCGACGGCAGCTCGGACTTTGCGACGATCATCATCGGGCCGTGGTACTCCTGGGGCTCCGTCTTCACGGGGCCCGTATACGTGTGCGTGCTGTCTTCCATACATCCTGCATCACGTGAGCGCGTACTGACCGTGAAGGACTGCGTGTGAGCAGCCCGTTCCACTACGCGAACCCCGCGCTCGACTACGATCTCACCATCGACACGAACAACACGCACATCCAGTACACCACCGCGTCCGTGCCGTCCTCGAAGAACCTGACGGCGGTGCAGCTGCCCCCGTCGGACGCCTTCATCAACTGGTTCGCGATCTCGCTCCTCGACGCGGACGCCGCCGGCGCGCCCACCTCGCGCCCTGCGCCCGCGCCGGAGCTGTACGTGCAGACCGTGCGCGCGACGACCAAGTGGGTCGACAACTCTACATCGACCGCGTCGGCGGGCGCGCAGATCATCGAGGTCACGCTGGACAACCTCGCGCCGCAGAACGGCAACCTGAGCCAGTGGCTCACGGGCGCGCACAGCGTCTCTTTGCATTCTTCCAGTCTGACGACGGTGCAGCCCGGCACCGTGCGCCGCCTGCGCACGAACGACCAGGTCGTCGTGCCCGTCGCGGTGCGGAACAATGCCGGGGTCGGGGTGGGCGAGAATGTCTCGGTGAGCGTGGTGGTGACGGATGCGAAGGGAAGGGAGGTCGAGTTGGTGGGTGGGGGAGGGAATTGGACGGTGGTGGCGGGCGTGCCGGCGTTTGAGAATGAGGATGTGAGTTTGGCGGGGCATGAGGCGCCGGAGTGGGTATGTGTTGTCCTTTTCCTTCTTGGGATTTGAAGAGAATTAGAGGCTGATGGGCTGGGTTTAGTATAATGATGCGAAGTTTGGTATTTTCGTGAGTTCTTCGTAACTTTTGATTTTTGCATTTCTGGCTTACATATCTGCCATCAGATCCATTGGGTGCGCGATTCTTTTTCATGAAAGATTGGACAAGTAGACCAAATATTACATCTAGGGCGTATACAGCGTCCCCGCATGGGCACCCTCCGGCCAGCAATACGCAGAATGGTACGACTGGCAGCTGCACAACCGTACGCCTCACACCTCTCCTCTCCCATCCACCACTTACCACTCACCACCCTAAACTTTACAGCACCGAACAGCGGCTCCCCAACATGGACACATCACAAAGAGACGTACGGCACCTCGGTCGTCTACGACGACTTCATCGCCAACTTCACCGCGTCCAAGTGGAGCCCCGACGACTGGGTCGACCTGTTCCACGACTCGGGCGCGAAGTATTTCGTCTTGGTCACGAAGCACCATGATGGGTTCGCCTTGGTGAGTTCTCCTATTGCAGATGACTCGGAGGTCGCTGAATGGGATGGGTGCAGTTTGATACGGAGAACACGACGCATAGAAACTCGTTGTTGTTAGGTCCGAAGTGCGTGCTTTGTTTTGGGTGGTGCTGATGGGTGGTGGAGACTGAGTTTGGGTGGCTCTTGCAGGCGCGATATAGTCAAGGAGCTGCTCGATACCTCCAAAGCTCGCCACCCCGAGCTGCATCGCGGCGTACGTACCTTTCCCCGACTTGCTTCCCTCCCATCTCACCCTACCGACCCACCATGTTCTCTAGACATACTTCAGCATGCCCGGTACGCCTCTGGTCCGCACGCTTTCCGACAAATCACTCTACTAACCGCTCACGACACACAGAATGGTTCAACCCCGCCTACGGCAAATACGGACACGTCTCCTTCCCGGGCCACCCCGCGCTCAACGCGTTCAACGGGTCTTGCTGCGACCCGTTCATCGGGTACATCCCGAAGGACGATTACTTAGAGGACAGTGAGTCTTGTTTCCTCATCATATTTAGAGAGGCTTGGATGTGATCTGATGTTGGTGCGACGTGCAGTCCAGAAACCGCAGATGGAGATTCTATTTTATAACTACGACACGGAGATCTTGTGGTGCGCATTCCACCTATTATCCTCGGCAATTGGGCATGGATTGATGTGTGGCTCTGCGCAGGTGCGATATCGGCTACGGAAGCGCCTTCCCTGAGATCGGTACGTCCCTGCACACTCTACAACGTATGCGAGAATGGCCTAACGACCGGCACGCAGCGGGCGACTGGTACAACTACGCCGCGGCGCAGGGCCGCCAGGTCG